ATAAAAAGATATGAAAATAGGACATTTGAAAATTCATGAATTTTTGCCAAAAATGATGGGATAACCCCTTTCCATTTATGTCAAAAAGTGTCATTTTTCACAATTCATGAAATGATCTTAAATTACATGTTTTGAAAACAGAATAGTCATACACACCTTCTATAGATGAAAAGATATGAAAATGGGCCATTTGAAAATTTATAAATTTTGGCCAAAAATGATAGGCTAACCCCTTGCCATTTTTGTCAAAAAAGTGTCATTTTTCACATTTCATGAAATGATCTGCAATAACATTTTTTGATTTGTCAAAGGTTATACACACCTTCTAGAGATGAAAACATATGAAAATCAGCAAATTTGCAAATTCATGAATTTTGGCCAAAAATGATGGGCTAACCCTTTGCCATTTTTTGTCAAAAAGTGTCGTTTTTAACATTTCATGAAATGATCTGCAATTACATTTTTTGATTTGTCAAAGGTGATACACACCTTCTAGAGATGAAAACATATGAAAATCGGCCATTTGCAAATTCTTGAATTTTGGCCAAAAATGATGGGCTAACCCCTTGCCATTTTGGTCAAAAAATGTCATTTTTCACAATTCATGAAATGATCTAAAATTTCATATTTTGAATAGACAGAGGTCATACACTCCTTTAGAGATGAAAAGATATGAAAATGGGCCATTTGCAAATTCATGAATTTTGGCAAAAAAATCATGGGCTAACCCCTTGCAATTTTTGTCAAAAAAGTGTCATTTTTCACATTTCATGAAATGATCTGCAATTACATTTTTTGATTCGACAGAGGTCATACACACCTTTAAGAGATAAAAAGATATGAAAATAGGACATTTGAAAATTCATGAATTTTTGCCAAAAATGATGAGATAACCCTTTTCCATTTATGTCAAAAAGTGTCATTTTTCACAATTCATGAAATGATCTTAAGTAACATGTTTTGAAAAGAGAATAGTCATACACACCTTCTATAGATGAAAAGATATGAAAATGGGCCATTTGAAAATTCATGAATTTTGGCCAAAAATGATAGGCTAACCCCTTGCCATTTTTGTCAAAAAAGTGTCATTTTTCACATTTCATGAAATGATCTGCAATAACATTTTTTGATTCGACAGAGGTCATACACACCTTTAGAGATAAAAAGATATGAAAATGGGACATTTCAAAATTCATGAATTTTGGCCAAAAATGATGGGCTAACCCCTTGCCAGTTTTGTCAAAAAGTGTCGTTTTTAACATTTCATGAAATGATCTGCAATTATATTTTTTGATTTGTCAAAGGTTATACACACCTTCTAGAGATAAAAACATATGAAAATCGGCCATTTGCAAATTCATGAATTTTGGCCAAAAATGATGGGCTAACCCCTTGCCATTTTGGTCAAAAATTGTCATTTTTCACAATTCATGAAATGATCTAAAATTTCATATTTTGAATAGACAGAGGTCATACACTCCTTCTAGAGATGAAAAGATATGAAAATGGGCCATTTGCAAATTCATGAATTTTGGCAAAAAAATGATGGGCTAACCCCTTGCCATTTTTGTCAAAAAAGTGTCATTTTTCACATTTCATGAAATGATCTGCAATTACATTTTTTGATTTGTCAAAGGTTATACACATCTTCTAGAGATGAAAACATATGAAAATCGGCCATTTGCAAATTCATGAATTTTGGCCAAAAATGATGGGATAACCCCTTGCCATTTATGTCAAAAAGTGTCATTTTTCACAATTCATGAAATGATCTTAAATTACATGTTTTGAAAAGAGAATAGTCATACACACCTTCTAGAGATGAAAAGATATGAAAATGGGCCATTTGAAAATTCATGAATTTTGGCCAAAAATGATAGGCTAACCCCTTGCCATTTTTGTCCAAAAAGTGTCATTTTTCACATTTCATGAAATGATCTGCAATTACATTTTTTGATTCGACAGAGGTCATACACACCTTTAGAGATAAAAAGATATGAAAATGGGACATTTCAAAATTCATGAATTTTGGCCAAGAAATGATGGGCTAACCCGTTGCCAGTTTTGTCAAAAAGTGTCGTTTTTAACATTTCATGAAATGATCTGCAATAATATTTTTTGATTTGTCAAAGGTTATACACACCTTCTAGAGATGAAAACATATGAAAATCGGCCATTTGCAAATTCATGAATTTTGGCCAAAAATGATGGGCTAACCCTTTGCCATTTTTTGTCAAAAAGTGTCATTTTTCACATTTCATGGAATGATCTGCAATTACATTTTATGATTTGTCAAAGGTCATACACACCTTTAAGAGATAAAAAGATATGAAAATTAGCCATTTGCAAATTCATGAATTTTGGCCAAAAGTGATGGGTAACCCCTTGCCAGTTTTGTCAAAAAAGTGTCGTTTTTAACATTTCATGAAATGATCTGCAATTACATTTTTTGATTTGTCAAAGGTTATACACACCTTCTAGAGATGAAAACATATGAAAATCGGCCATTTGCAAATTCATGAATTTTGGGCCAAAAATGATGGGCTAACCCCTTGCCAGTTTTGTCAAAAAGTGTCATTTTTCACAATTCATGAAATGATCTTAAATTACATGTTTTGAAAAGAGAATAGTCATACACACCTTCTATAGATGAAAAGATATGAAAATGGGCCATTTGAAAATTCATGAATTTTGGCAAAAAAATGATGGGCTAACCCCTTGCCATTTTTGTCAAAAAAGTGTCATTTTTCACATTTCATGAAATGATCTGCAAATACATTTTTTGATCAGACAAAGGGTCATTCACAACTTCTAGAGATAACAAGATATGAAATTGGGCCATTTACAAATTCATAAATTTTGGCCAAAAATGATGGGCTAACCCTTTGCCATTTTTTGTCAAAAAGTGTCATTTTTAACATTTCATGAAATGATCTGCAATTACATTTTTTGATTTGTCAAAGGTCATACACACCTTCTAGATATGAAAACATATGAAAATCAGCCATTTGCAAATTCATGAATTTTGGCCAAAAACGATGGGCTAACCCCTTGCCATTTTGGTCAAAAATTGTCATTTTTCACAATTCATGAAATGATCTAAAATTACATATTTTGAATAGACAGAGGTCATACACACCTTGAAGAGATGAAAGATATGAAAATGGGCCATTTGCAAATTCATGAATTTTGGCCAAAAATGATAGGCTTACCCTTTGCCATTTTTATCAAAAAAATGTCATTTTTCACATTTCATATAATGATCCGGAATGACATAATTTTGATTAGACAGAGGTTATACACATGTTCTAGAGATGAAAAGATATGAAAATTAGCCATTTGCAAGTTCATGAATTTAGGCCAAAAATGATGGGCTAACCCCATGTCATTTTTGTCAAAAAGTGTCATATTTCCATATTTCTTGACTCATCTGCAACTTACATTTTTTTAATTCGACAGAGGTCATACACACCTTTAAGAGATGAGAAGATATGAAAATGGGCCATTTGAAAATTCATGAATTTTGGCAAAAAATGATAGGCTTACCCCTTGCCATTTTTATCCCAAAAATGTCATTTTTCAGATTTCATATGATCCGGAATGACATAATTTTGATGAGACAGAGGTTATACACACCTTCTAGAGATGAAAAGATGTGAAAATTGGACATTTGAAAATTCATGAATTTTGTCAAAAAATGATAGGCTAACCTTTTGCCATTTTTTGTCAAAAAGTGTCATTTTTCACATTTCATGGAATGATCTGCAATTACATTTTTTTTATTAGACAGAGGTCATACACACCTTTAGAGATAAAAAAAAGATATGAAAATGGGCCATTTGCAAATTCATGAATTTTGGCCAAAAATGATAGGCTTACCTTTTGCCATTTTTATCAAAAAAATGTCATTTTTCACATTTCATATAATGATCCGGAATGACATTATTTTGATTAGACAGAGGTTATACACATGTTCTAGAGATGAAAAGATATGAAAATTAGCCATTTGCAAGTTCATGAATTTAGGCCAAAAATGATGGGCTAACCCCATGTCATTTTTGTCAAAAAGTGTCATATTTCCATATTTCTTGACTCATCTGCAACTTACATTTTTTTAATTCGACAGAGGTCATACACACCTTTAAGAGATGAGAAGATATGAAAATGGGCCATTTGAAAATTCATGAATTTTGGCAAAAAATGATAGGCTTACCCCTTGCCATTTTTATCCCAAAAATGTCATTTTTCAGATTTCATATGATCCGGAATGACATAATTTTGATGAGACAGAGGTTATACACACCTTCTAGAGATGAAAAGATGTGAAAATTGGACATTTGAAAATTCATGAATTTTGTCAAAAAATGATAGGCTAACCTTTTGCCATTTTTTGTCAAAAAGTGTCATTTTTCACATTTCATGGAATGATCTGCAATTACATTTTTTTTATTAGACAGAGGTCATACACACCTTTAGAGATAAAAAAAAGATATGAAAATGGGCCATTTGCAAATTCATGAATTTTGGCCAAAAATGATAGGCTTACCCCTTGCCATTTTTATCAAAAAAATGTCATTTTTCACATTTCATAAAATGATCCGGAATGACATAATTTTGATTCGACAGAGGTCATACACACTGTGCCGTACAGGATGACTTTCTGTTTGAAGCCGATGCTTGTGATGTCACAGGCATCGCTTTGTAGAAAGTGTATGGATTAGGTCGCTTGAGGGCGTACTGGATTTTGTGTGTTACTGATTTTCCACGTCATGGGATAGTTGCCTCCCAGAGTTGCCTAAGTTTTCGTTTAATTTTGTGATACAAGCCCAATGATATTGAACCTTGCCTGCTACAGTGTGTATATAACCAAATTACAGCGGTTCGGTGTCTTTACTATGGGTCCAGGGCATCTGGGTTGGTTCGCCAAATCGTACATCACAACAGTTCAATATCAACTTGTGTGACTGTCATATCCTCCATCATGAGCGTAACCGGCATGGATGGCAGCACAGATCCAGAGGTTACCTTCAAGGACCACAAGTCGGACAGTATTAGACCTGAGGACTCATGCTAGCCAAAGGGGGAGTAGCACCACCTCGGCGAGTTGGAGGATACGGGCGAAGGCTAAGAGAGCTGCCTTAGCCGCAGAAGTAGCAGCTCTTAAAGACCAACAAGAACTTGAGATAGAAGAAATGAAGCTTAAACAACGGAAAGCTGAGCTTCTTCTGAAGACTAGATTAAAGATCGCGGAAGCGGAGGAAACTGTATATAGAGGTACTCGGTCCATAGAACAGAAGACTGAGCCTTCCAAGTCTGAACCTTCACAACAAGGTTCATCAACTCCTGTTAGAACGAGAATGAAGCCGGCAGGTGAAAACCTGACACTGACCAGTCAAGATGAAAAGATAACTGGTAAGATGGACTCTGACATCTTACATCATCTACAGCAAGGACAGAGACAACATCAACAACTGTTGGAAGCCATCACAATTTCAAGTACCAACATTATGTCTTTTGATGGTAACCCGTTGAATTTCTTTGAGTTCATACGATCATTTGATAGTGTCATTGGAAATTCGTCATTGGACAATAACGCCAAGCTGCTCAAGTTGTATCATCTTTGTACTGGAGCTGCCAAAGACATAATCCAATGTTGTCTCATGATGCATCAAGATGATGGGTACTTTCATGCCAGAACGCTTCTGATGGATCGCTTTGGAAGTGACCATAAGATCAGTGACGCCTGGATTAGGAAGGTCACCGAAGGTCCAGTTATTCAGAGCAATCCTAAACATCTGAGGGATTTCGCTGATCAGCTAAAGACCTGTGCTGAAACTTTGATGGCCCTTGGGATGCTTCACGAGATGAGCAGCAGAAGTGAGCTGGTGAAGGTCATTGAACGTTTGCCATTCCATCTGAAGAGCCGGTGGTTGCGTTTCGTAAAGACCATCAGGGATAGTGGCAGACAGCCTAACATCCAGCATGCAGTTGAATTCATCACCGGTGCAGCTGATGAACTCAATGATCCTGTATTTGGAGCCTTACTTATGGGTGGACCAAAGAATCTAGGAAATGCAAGGATTGTTAAGGAAAGAACTGTGTCAAGTAGAGGTCAGGCAAGCATGTTTACTACCTCTGTGAATTCATCGACCAAGAACTGCATCATGTGTCAGGACAGCCATGACCTTTTCGGTTGCCAGTAATTTAAAGCCATGGAGCCTGATGAACGCTTTGATTTTGCCTTCAAGAACAGGCTTTGTTTCAATTGCTTGTTACCTGGTCATGTATCCTCAAAGTGCATCCTTAATAGGACCTGCTCAGTCAAGGGGTGCAATCAAAGGCATACCAAGTTCCTCCATACCGGGAGAAGGATGAGACCATCTTCAGGAAATCCTACACCTTGGAGAACAAGAAGGGAATCGAATGACTCATCAACTCAAACTGACTATGATGTAGCATCTGATGCTAGTTCCAATGCCACGAGGGCCGGAGGTTGCAGAGTAGCCCTTCCAATAATTCCGGTTACTGTCAGTGCTGCAGATGGTGGAGAAAGCATTGAGACCTTAGCTTTGCTGGACACTGGATCTACGAACTCATTCTGTCTGCAAGAATTAATAGATGTGCTCCAGACAAAGGGGAAAAGGAAAGTCATTCAGGTCTCAACACTGGAAAGCCCTAAAAGAGCAATGGAATGTGAAGCTGTCAAGTTGAGGGTTAAAGGTTCCACAGCAGACAAGAAGATAGAGGCTGAATTTCTAACTCGTCCGAGCCTTAATATCAGAACTGCAAACATGGCCAGGGATGAAGATATTTCGAAATATCAACATCTTTGTGGCATTGATCTTCCAGTCACGGGGAAGAACCAAGTAACCATACTGATTGGACAAGATGTGCCTGAAGCCCTGATGCCACTTGAAATCAAAGCAGGTAAACCTGGTGAAGTTTATGCTGTCAAGACAATACTTGGATGGACGTTAAATGGTCCGCTTGGAAATGGAAGTAGTTTACAGAGTTTTCAAGCCTCGTCTAGCTTCATCTCTGATGATGGTAACATGCTCCTGGAAGAACAAGTTCACAAATTTTGGAAGCTAGAAGGGACAGAATACCTTCATGATGATGAAAGGAGCATGTCCATCAATGATCAGAAAGCTTTGAAGACCTGGCAGGAAGGAGTTTGCAGAGATGGTGATCACTATCAACTTCCCATTCCATTTCGGAAGAGGCCTGAAGATCTGCCGAATAACATCCAAGTTGCACTTACCAGACTAGAGTCACTGAAGAGAAGACTGGTAAAGGATGATTGTCTACATGCTAAGTACAGTGAAGGAATGAGGTCTTTGTTGGATGAAGGGTATGCTGAAGAGGTTAAGGACCAGGATCTTGGGAAGGATGAAGGAGTCTGGTACTTACCGCATCACCCGGTATTCAATCCAAATAAACCAGAAAAGACAAGAATTGTCTTCGATTGTGCTTCCAAGTACAATGGAACTTCTTTGAACGATGCGGTACTTCAAGGTCCAGACTTGACGAACAACCTTCTTGGTGTTTTGCTCAGATTTCGCAAAGAACCTATAGCCATTATGGGAGACATAAGGGCAATGTTTCACCAAGTTAGAGTTCCACCAGAGCAGAGAGACTTTCTTCGCTTCCATTACATCCGCAGTGACAACAAGCGCTTTCGGACATTTGTGGCTAACAGGATATCTACCATCCGTGATGCCTCGGAGCCCAGGCAGTGGAGATATGTCAACACAGAAAAGAATCCAGCTGATGATGTATCAAGAGGTCTAACACCAGACAAGCTCAATGGCAGATGGCTCAAGGGACCATCCTTCCTATGTGCTGATGAGATGGAATGGCCTATCTCTCCTGCTGATCTGCAAGTGCCACCAAGTGATCCAGAAATCAAACCACCTACAGAAAATGCCAGTGCATTCACAACTCAGTCAGAGGAGAAGTCATTGGAAAGGCTTATCAACACATATTCCTCCTGGTATAAGCTGAGGAGGGGAGTGAGCTGGCTATTGAAGTTCATGCAGTGGTTGAAACTCAAAGGAAAAACCCAGACAGAGCAAGAGCTGAGGGACTTCAAAAGGATCAGTTACGACGACATGCAGAAAGCAGAGAAGAGAATTTTGCATTACGTGCAAAAATGTTTCTTCCAGAAGGAGATTGAATCATTGACCGATTCAGATGGTAAAGTGACAAAGACAAGTCAACTCTACAAGCTGGACCCTAAGATAGACGAGGGTCTTGTTAGAGTTGGAGGAAGATTAGAGAGATCAGCTCTACCATTAGAAGCTAAACACCCAGTCGTCTTACCCAAGGGAAGTCACGTGTCAGATCTGATCTTGAGAGATGTTCATGTAAAGGCAGGGCATAGTGGAAGAAATTATGTCCTTTCTGTGCTCCGTGAGAAGTATTGGATGCTTGGAGCAGGAGCAGTTATCAGGAGCATGATTAGCAGATGTGTCATGTGCAGGCGGCAAAGAGGGAAGATGATGAGTCAGAAGGTGGCTGACCTGCCTGAGAATAGACTGTTACCTGACGAGCCTCCATTTTCCAAGGTTGGCATTGACTATTTCGGCCCCTTTGAGGTTAAAAGGGGTCGCAGCATGGAGAAGAGATATCGAGTCATGTTTACATGTCTTACCACACGCGCTATTCATTTGGAAGTCGCTCATTCTTTGGATACGGACTCTTGTATCAGTGCCATTCGTCGTTTCATCGCTCGCAGGGGCAATATCAAGGAGATGCTCTCAGATAATGGCACTAATCTTGTGGGCGCTGAGAGAGAGCTGAAAAGAGAAATAGATGGATGGAACAAAGCTCAAATCAGCGCAGACCTGCTCCAGAAAGGCATCAAATGGACATTCAACCCACCCACTGCTTCCCATTTTGGAGGAGTCTCGGAAAGGCAGATTGGGACTGTGAGAAAGCTCATACTGGCAGTAACTAAGCAACAGGTGCTCTCAGGTGAAAGTCTGACAACTCTCTTCTGCGAAATTGAGAGCATCGTCAACAACAGGCCTCTAACAAGAGTATCAGATGATGTCAATGATCTTGAGGCCTTGACTCCCAATCACCTACTTCTGCTGAACAGGAAGCCGCAACTGCCACCAACAGTGACGGACAGATCAGATGTCTACTCGAGAAGGAGGTGGCGTCAAATACAGTATCTCGCCGACGTATTCTGGAGGCGCTGGTCTAGAGAGTACTTACTGCAGTTGCAAAGAAGAGAAAGATGGGTACCATCGCATCGCAATCTTCAGATTGGTGACTTGGTGCTGGTTGCCGATGCAAACACTCTGCGGAATTCGTGGCTGCTGGGAAGAGTACTTCAAACTTTCCCAGACAAGAAAGGCTTCACCCGTAGTGCGAACATCAAGACAAAGAATAGCGTAATTGTTCGTCCTATCTCGAAATTGTGCCTGATTTTGGAAGGAGATTGTTAATTGCCCTCATTTGGAATTCATGGATCATGTGATGTTTAATCATATAAGAAAGAGAAATTTTTGAGATATATAAATTTCGTGATCAAGGAGAATTTGTGTCTCAGAGGATGTCGTCGCAGAGATATGATCAAATGAAGATCGTTTGTCAGTGATTTTTGATTGGAAATCAGAAGGATCCAATTAGAGCAGAAATTTTATTATCATGAAATGTGATGTCATGATATCGCCAACATTTATTTTACGTGAAAGTGTCAAAATGTGACAATTCGTATTCAACACGAGGATATAATTTTTTTGTTGAGATATGAATCGTCTAGTGATCTACAGTGCAGATTTAGTCACCATAGCAACTCAACAGTGACTGATTCATGTAACTGAGAATTGAGAAACTGAACGGCTTACAAGAAGAAGACATAAACTGATACATTTATAGAAAAATGACTGTTTGCTATTCAAAGACTCATGAACTAATGCACATTAGTGTATTACACTTGAAGTTATGGAGTAATTTTCAAATTTTGACACGATTTGTTATTTTCCAGTGTAAAAATGTAAACATGGCATTTAGCAGCATTTAAGTTGCAGTAAATGTGAGTTGTGTGTAGAAAGGTTCTACTAGTTGTCATGTTGATTAATGCAATATATGCAAATTTTATTTGAAAGTATGACTGATTATCAGGAATTAAGCATAATGGGTAATTTATCATTCCTCATGTCAAGGCACATGTAGTATACATGTAGTTTGCCTTTAGTACAGTGTTACAAATACAAAGGGTATTAAAATAGGAAAGGTCAAGAGTTCAGCTCTTCATGTGAAGCTCGAGTAGAAAGTTACTTACAAACATAAAATGTGGGTTTACGGTACAGTCAAGTTGTTGGTTGTATGTTTAACTTGACACATCACTCTCAGTTCTCCCATCGTCTGAGTCAGTAGGAAGATTTAGTTTTGGATTAAAACATTTTTAGTGTCATTCCTGTGTCGGAATTATAGTGAGGAAGCAGCATGGTTGCTTACAGTTATCTTTGGAGTCGATGTTTTCCAAAATGATTCTAAATTCTGGCAAGGAGTGTTGGGAGTTCTGATATGGTTGTCATGGTGATGTTGAGAAGGATATTTGCTTTATGTAGTGCATTTGATATACACTTGGGGCATTTTATGCAAATGTCAAAGCTTTTAAATTACTTAGTTGTTTGCTGAAAAGAAACTCTTCAGATATTTTATGTTGATATTAATGGTCAAGATCATTAAATAGGTTAAAGGTGATTAGTTATTTAAAGGTGTGAAGAAAAAAAAGGTCACTTGAACAGTATAAGAAATTGAAGAATTTAAAGGAACAATGATTTATTGCGAGTAGCAATTGTGGATAAACTTAATTTGAAATGTTTCAAATGAACAAAGTATTGTTAAATGTTCAGAAAGGCTTCTCATTTAAGAGGACCGGAATGTGGCGTACAGGATGACTTTCTGTTTGAAGCCGATGCTTGTGATGTCACAGGCATCGCTTTGTAGAAAGTGTATGGATTAGGTCGCTTGAGGGCGTACTGGATTTTGTGTGTTACTGATTTTCCACGTCATGGGATAGTTGCCTCCCAGAGTTGCCTAAGTTTTCGTTTAATTTTGTGATACAAGCCCAATGATATTGAACCTTGCCTGCTACAGTGTGTATATAACCAAATTACAGCGGTTCGGTGTCTTTACTATGGGTCCAGGGCATCTGGGTTGGTTCGCCAAATCGTACATCACACAC